CATCGTTTATGCCCTAATTGTAATAACCCCCGTAATTCATGGTAAATAAACATTTTCAAAAGGATAATTACTTTAAAAGGCTAACCATGGTAGGAAGGACAAACCTAATCAAATAGAAATCTACCATAGTCAATAACAAACCAAATCCTTAACAGAGTAGTAGCTACTGTTCTAGAATAGTAAGGATAGTTAATCAAATAAGAAATGGTCAACATTTGATTTTTTATGTATATATCAAATCCATCAGCAATACTCTGGAATCTCAAATACAATTAAGACCAATTGTAAAGGGCTAGGGCATTTGAAGTCCACCAAAACAACTACCACTGCTGCCCATTGTCAAGTGCAATCAAAATAACAATCACATATGTCCAAAAAGGGCTCCGCCCAATAATACAAGTCTAGAATGCAGCGGAAAGGCTATGATAATGTTAACTAAAACAAAAAGGCCCTAAAGTTTGGCAATATACATCAGTCAAATCATGTATATCAAAATAGAGGCTATACAGAGTGGAAAGGAAAACTCAAGCCTTGGACACCTTCCCCTTGGGACCAACACCTGAACCCTCGTCTGAAAAATGTTAAATAACCACGGGGTGAGTCAAATTGACCCAGTAACCACAATTCTAATTCAACAAGTATCCAGGGAGTGATTACAAGATAGCTAAGCGGGCAAAGTACAATTTCAAATAACATATAAGTTAAACATCTTTACAGAAAACAATATATGATAATTCAAAAAAGTAACTTGCATGCATAGAACTTCATCAACCATCCTTATAACCTCCTTGTAACCTCTGACAGAACCCATGGGCTATTCACACATAACAGGATTCATCTCTTTTACAAGACTGCACCAAGCTCTCCAATAATGAGGTGTAACTCGGCCAAAAGTTACAGAGCTCATACTGGACCATGGGTTCCCTTTCCTTGGAATATGGAAAGGTGTCATGTCCCTTGGGCTGACCCTTGACCCGGCCAAAGGAAGGGTGATACCGAGGGCCCTAAGAATGTTAATGCCAACCACTGGGCGCCAAGTGGCGGCTATACCACGTGGTATAAATAATCAGACCTCCCACAACTACATTTCAGCATAACCAACACAGCCCAATCCAACCATCCAATTCCACACAATTTCATATCCATAAAGTATTCTCATATTCAATAATCAAATTTATTCAACATCAACAAGATATTCATAAGATGAAATAATTCATGCCCACTTAACTAATAAATTTATCAAAACATAAATCTTGATATAGATGTATAATTTACTTTTCATACAAAAACCACCATAACACATATTGAGAATATTCATAATATCAACACATGCTTATAATCACATCAACAAGCATACAAGGTAAATTAGAAAGTGGTTACCTCAAGTTCTTGACACAAGAACTAAAAGTAGGAGGATTCAAACCCAAGAGCTCAAACCAAGCTTACTCTACAATAATAAATTGATAAACATATATTAATATAAAAAGACTAATTAATATAGCATTAAAATAGTTTATTAACTAAATCCCCATAATTGGTTTGCTTAAAAAAAATTATCTTTAGAAAAATAATAATTCATCTATTCCTCCAAGTGACAATTCCTAATACTTCCCAACTCTATTTCTCTCATTCACATCATTAATAAGAATATTTCCTTCAAATCATCTAAAAATCTCCAAAAAGTGCTTATTTTAACTCTTAGAAGAATAACCATATATCAACTATGCCTTCAATCATTATTAAAATCCTATTCCCTTCTTCCATTAATCATTTCCCACTTATTAGAATCAATAACTTAGAATATTTTCCTCAATTTCCTCCAAACACCCAACTTCCACTAATTAAAGTCTCTCCAAGAATCATCAACATTACTATTTCAACAACAATCCTCAAAGTTTAAGCATTGGATCCTCAATATAACCTCAAGTGAACTCAACTAAGAGATAAATTTCGAAATTAATATCATCATTAATACAAATCACAATTTCCCAACCAATCCCTAACTCACATTGCCTCAAATCAACCATCAACTAAAAATCTAAGTCATAAGGCTTCTATTCTAACCCCATAAGCTCCATTAATATCATCAAAATGAGTTAGAAGCCTCAAAGATTAAAAATCTAACAAGCCCTAAAATATTCATTCTTCTGCCATTAGCTAAGGAAAATAAAAGAATAAGGTAAATAAGAAAAGAGGGGATGAGAATAACTTACCAGAAAAAATCCCAAAGGAATCCCCAAGTAAACCCCCTTCTATTCCTCACACTCACTCACTCACGCTTACTGTTCGATGATGGCGGAGCGGCACGGACCAGGGGGGAGTGGACGACGCGGAAAGGGGAGGAGGAGTGTTTGAAAGTGGGGGTTACACGTGACCCCCACTTAAAATGCCTTGCTATACTTTTTTTTTTAATTTTTTTTTCTTTTTAAAGTATATTTATATATAATATATATTTTTTTATCCTTTCATAATTTATATGTATATCACAAATATTATGATTTACAATCTACACAGTACTACTAAATTTTTTTTTATTATTAATTTATCTCATACCCATATAATTTAAATCCTATATAAAAAAAATGGATCGTTACACTAATCGATAGCACTGTCATTTCCCTCTGTTCCCCCAAGTATCTGATATGGGTCCTCTATCTTTATCTTTAAATAGGCACCTTCTTTCTTTCTTTTTTTTAAATTTTTTTTATTTTCCACATTAGATATCTAGCTCCCATGCCACTTAATTAGCTCATGTTGCCAAGTTAGAAGCCAAATCATTATAGCTGACACCGTTTGTGCCACCTCAGCAAATTGTAATGGCACATGACTCCCAAGGACTAACGTTTTGTAACGGAGTAAATTCCAGGGACGAATACCTCCGGTCTTAAATTTCAGAGACCAAAACCTAAATGGGCTTAAATTTGAGAGACCAAAAGTTGTATTTTCCCTTTTTTTTTCACCTTCAGATTTCTAATTTTCATGAGAGATGTGATGAGAATTTGAGCTTTCAGAACTGAGCAATGATTTTGGGCTTTAATTTGTGGTTAAATCTTTGGCACCGAGGACTTGAACGGTAGATTTGAAGAGTTTCAATGGTAGAAGCTCTTGATTGGCTTGGTTGAGCATCAATGGCAGAAATATGGGTTTTTGGATTCAGATTGTAACGCTGCATTTGGCTCAACATAAGAGAGGAGAGGAATTTTAATTAAAAAAGAGGGGAGGGAGGAAAGAGGAGGGTAGCTACAGAGGGAGGGAAGGGAGGGGGAAGAGAGGGAAGAAATTTAATGATTTCTTGTTTGGATTGATTGGAGGGGAGGGAAGGAAGAAATTTTAATGATATCTTATTTTGTTCTAATAAAAAATTGACTATTTCAACCTTATTAAATTTAAATGAATTTTCTAACTTTTTTATTATATATATATAATGTAATTCATCAATTTTGATTTGTAAAACACAATCACGCACTTATAGGATAATAAGATAAAAAGTCATGAGTAATGGATTTCAATAAAAGAAAAGACCTTGAAAGTGAAAGAAAATACTGACGGTCTTTTGGAATTAGAAGAAGAGATAAAAAAAGGTTCAACAACGCTCACTAATTTTGGAGATAACTATCTCGACAATCTCTAGCTGGATGTTCAAAAGAACTTCTTATCTAGAAATATTTATGACTGATTAGGGGTTAATAAATCGAGATAATATATGAGGAATTAAAGTATTTTAGTTAGGTTAATTTTGAAATTTAAAATTTTATCTCTCATCTTTCCTCCAAAAAACCCTATTTTTGGAGGGGAGGCTAGAAGGGGAGGGAGAGAAGAGGAGAAGAGCCCCTTTCTCTTTAAAAAATATTTTAACCAAACAAGTGGAGGGGAGCAACTCCCCCCCTTCTAAAAAATTGCACAGCCCCTCCCCTTCCTTCCAAAATCTCCGCACCAAACATAGTGTAAAAGATATTGAAGGGCACTGTGGTCTTTTTAACAAAATACATATTTTAATTAAAAAATCAGACTATCTCATTTCCATTGCATACCAAACACACTTTCAAACTTTTATTTTCATTTCCATTTCCATTCTAGCATACCAAACGAACCATTAATTCCTCACTCATACCATATTCAATAGTTCCAAGAATAATCATCTATCACATTTTATAGACAGCACGCTGCACTACTTACCTATCACATTGGGAATAAATGGATTAATCCGCTTAAATTATATAATCAAATGATTAAAACTATAAAAGTTTAATTTTTTTTTTCATATGGGATGGCTTTTTCCAACTTAAATCACTAAATAAAATTCAACCCTTTTACGAAGACCAAATTTTGTTCTTATTTGACCAAAAAAAAAACTTTGTTCTAATTTAAAAAAAACCCATGAAGACCAAAATTGTTTGGTTTTTTGGCGAGTATTCAGATTTCATGTCCAACAATCAACAAATATAAGTCACGAGGTTTATTAAACCAAGTTGAAGCATGATGGCTTAATCAACAAATTGATTCAATATTAGGTTACTAATTCTACGTCATGCTTTGGAGAGGCAGATTAGATATAAATAATAAGTATACATTTATTCAAATGGCCATATTTAATATTGATAATTTAATTACTTAAATGTGAAGTAAGCTATTCTTGAATTGACATTTTGAAAGGACCAAATCGAAACATATTTGACCAAGTTCTTCGATTTTATTGTCAAAGGAAAAACATAGATTTTCAGTAAATATTGAAAAAGGTATTATGCTTCAATTTGAAGAGCTAACAACAAAACAATAATTTGTCAGAAAAAATAGAATTTTCTCTGTAAGATAAAAAGAAAGAAATAACCATTTTTATATTTTCTGTTTATTAAAATTACGAATTACTATGAACTCATCAGGTTGTTATTTGATAAACATTTTTTTTTTTTTTTGGGAAAACCATGCAAATTCCGATCTTTTTCTTTCTCTTTCCCAAATCCATATAGGATTCAAACTCTGGACTCATTCTCCAAAATCTATAAACACTCACGCTGCGCATAATCGAGGACGGTAACCTGTATCTTCTTCGCACTCCATCATCCTTCTTCGCCAAATCCTATCCCTGTTAAAGCCGGCGCCGCTGCTTGACCTCTCGGCGATCTTATTGCTCCAGCCTCCTTCGGTCACAGGTTTGTTACCTTTTGATCTCTTTCCGTCTTTCAAATAATGTTCATACAATTATATGGATCTCAAATCTTGTTAAACGAAAAAATTATTGGTCTTGATTGGGGTTTCTGTAATTCGAATCCCCATCATCTTAATATTTTCATATACACCAAAAACCATATTTTCGCAATCTCCTCAGGTTCTTTCTTTCTTTCTTTCTTTCTTTTTGAGGTCACTTTTCATGCATGCGATTTTATCGATCCTAAAGTTTGGCGTTGAAACGACGCAATTTGTATTATTATTTTTTAAAATTTGGGGCTGAAATCAGGTTTGTAGTTGATCTATTTGATCCTAATAAATATGTTTTGTGGATTAATCTTTTGATGGTGTTCCAGGTGAACAAGGATGGGAGCATTGATATCCAAGTTTTGGTTCATGTTATTCCCTGCCCAGGAGTATAAGATTGTGGTTGTTGGGTTGGATAATGCTGGGAAGACCACAACCCTTTATAAATTACATCTGGGTGAGGTCGTCACTACGAACCCTACCGTAGGAAGCAACGTGGAAGAACTCGTCTACAAGAATATAAGATTCGAGGTTTGTTAGATGTACTCTGAATTATTTTTAATATTTTTGATCTCGCTTTATTGGTTTGTGATGTGAGTTCACACTGGTAGTTGTGTTACCCTCTTTATAATTAGCAAGCGAGACATGAGTGAAGGACAATGATTAACCAAAGCACATGTAGTGGGAAAAGTTTGCATCTTGTTTACTAGAAGAATTGCCTCCGGTTAATCGGCTTACTTTCCTAATTCCTGGAAGAAAAGGGTGTTAAGGCAATATGTCTTCATATTTTTATGTTTTATCTTGGCCCTGATTCAATTAGCTAAGTTCCTTCGATGTAATTCACATGTAAGGAACCTTCTTTTTTTCAAACAAAAGTCTTGCCAAAGTGAAGGTTCCGTAGTTCTTGCTTCATCCATACTTAATTAGCCGATGGTGATTTTCTTCCTTAAATCATCTCAATATCTGTGACGTCTACATTTTTAGTGCTTTAGGCGAATTTGAATCGACTCTTCTATTGGGTAACCATTGTCCAGACCTGCCCAACAACTATGTACAAAGTTCCTTTTCCTATTAATTCTGTTTTTTCAGCCCCCGCTTCGATCAGGTTGATGCATAAGGGGAATACACATATGAAGTCATTGTTTTTATCTATTTGAATTGGAATGATAGTATCATCTCTTAATATGCTATGTGTCATGTATATTTCTTTTGTTCTTATTTACCCTTAATATGATTTTGTTTTTGGATTAAAAAATTGTTATTGATGAGGAGAAAAATTCAGATATGCATTAATGGTGGGCAGGTGCTCCTTCCAAAACAAAGAAAAATAGACTTGACGCTAAAGAACTTTATATTTCCTTTGTACCACCACGGGACCCCTGCCTCCCAAACACACACACAGAGAGAAAGTAAACCCGCATACGCATTACAGTAATTTGCTCCCATGTGACTTGGGGAGCTTCCAACTAATACTCTTGTATTATGTTTTAACCACAATCCTGCAGATACTGCTCCCTGCTGGAGAACTTTTATGTTTCCTTTTTTCCCCCCTGCTTGAAACCATTAAAACCCATAGCTGATAAATCATGTACATTAACTTAGCTCTGTTCATTGATTAATCCCAGTCAGCCTAGAATTTGACAACATCTCATACAACTATGCTTCTACTCCAGGTCTAGGAGGGGTTTTTTCAACCTCTTTACACCTTCTCTAGCTCTTTCTTTTGGTGAAGATGCACATAACTCCTTCCAACTTAGGGGCTTGTGCAATTTACTCATCTCAACTTTAAAAGTTGACAGTCGGACCTCCTAAGCCTTCACTTTGGTTCCACTTAGCACTTCAGTTTAGAAAACAAAAAATCTGGCTAATTCTTTTTTTTTTTTTTTGGCCAGCAAAAATCTGGCTAATTCAAGTGATTGGATTTAAGGGCTAAATATATGTGCTCTTTTCCCTCTGTTGTCCTATAAACTTATAACCTGGATTGTCGTTACCAATTTTGAGGGCTAATGTAGGTCATAGAAAGTAAGTCTGGCTAATTCATGATCACAAATCGCCTGGATGACCTTATTTTGTTGCCTAAAATCTGCCACGTTTACACTGATTAAAGATTTTGAAAGCTTTATAGTCATGATTGTTTTTGACAACTTTTTAAGAGATTATGATGTTGAATGATAGAAGTCTGGCTAAATCTTGTTAAAAAAAGGGCTTGACCAAGTTGCATGACTGAAAGCCTCTCATTTTGCACTGTTCAATTTTTAAGTTTGGCGATTGTTTTTGGGAGCTAATGGATATCAAATCAGAAGAAGTAACTCTGGCTAAATCTTGCTTAGTGGTGGCGTCAAATGACCGGATTTTATGGCAGAAAGATTGGCCATTGCATACAGTGCAAAGGTCACGGATTGCTGAATGAACAAACATCATCCCTAGAGCTGTGATATCCCAAACTGAAGCGATTTACCACCTGGTTCAAATTAGAATATAAGGACTTTCTCACCGTTTTCAGAGTAAAAAACTTTGAGAAGAAAAATGGTGAAACGTTGAGGGATTGGAATAGGAAGGGTGATATGCCTAAAAAGTTGTCGTTTGCCATTGAATGATGACGAATTTAATGCTTTTACATAGGGTGGCCGCTTCTAGCTGGTGCAAATAAGCACCACTAGGGATTTGCATGAAAATGTTGCCATTTGAAGTTTGAGTCAAACTGCACAAAGCGATGCTTTAATTTTTGGTCCTTTTTTTAATAAGTTGAATGTGCTGTTCGTGTCTTAAATCTTTGTACTGGCTGAAATATTACTCAATTCAATATGTAATCCCTTGCAGGTTTGGGATCTAGGTGGCCAAGAAAGATTGCGGACATCATGGGCGACATATTATCGTGGAACTCATGCCGTAATTGTGGTGATAGACAGCAGTGACAGAGCCAGGATCTCCATCATGAAGGATGAACTTTTCAGGTTGCTGGGGCATGAAGATTTGCAGCAGTCTGTTATTCTAGTATTTGCAAACAAACAAGACCTCAAGGATGCTATGACCCCTGCTGAGATCACTGATGCCCTATCCCTACACAGTATCAAGAATCATGATTGGCACATACAAGCCTGCAGTGCCCTCACTGGTGATGGGCTGTATGATGGCCTGGGGTGGATTGCCAGCCGGGTCACCGGGAAAGCACCTTCATGATTAAGCTAGACAGGTTGAGCTTCATTTTTCAAGGACTCGTGATTCTGATGAGTGACGAAATTCTGTGTATCATTTATACATTGAAGTAAACACTGAACGGCAAGGCCATGCAAATTTGTAGATTGTTTATTTCCGTTGTGTACCATTTGTTCACTTGCAATGGAGAATATCATTTACCCCATGTGTTCCCTCCTTTCAAATGGGGGCTTTTTTGAATGGGAGAAATTGAAGTCTCTCCTCGTCCCATCTATTTTAATTTTTTCTTGAAGTATAAACATAAAGATCACTTTACATCTTCACAACTACAGTTTAATTATTATCATTATTATTTTTCCCTTTCATTCTCTTTCATTCTGAGCACTACAGAATTCCTTACACTACCATTGACATTGGAGGAAAAAACGTTCACAGTCAGTAATATAATCATCCCCTGCACAAGTAAGCTTTCCTCTCAAACATCAAAACTATGTGTTTGCTTTAATCATCATCTGCACAAGGAAGCATTCCATGAACACTATCCAAAAACAATATCGTTTCAAAACTGTCAGACTTTCCGGGCCAATCCGGGGAAAAAAAAGAAAAGGTAAAACAAGAAAAAAGAAAAAGAATGTAAAGCTGCCACAATCTGCTGGTTGAGGCCAACGTCAAACAGCCTATAATGGTTGCAACTTGCAATCAGCAATCTTCTTCAGAGAATCCAGCATCTGCAACCTTTAGAATCTTGGGGGCCTTCAAACCATCGATCCCATAAGGGATTTATAGGGCCAATTGTTCTGTTAAACAAGGAAAATATAAGCTTACAAGGAAAAAGATCAAATATAAATAACATGAGACCAAGGAGTTCAGAGAAGAAACTTTACACCGGGAGTAAGGGGTCAGGTCTTTTTTCCACAGTAGTCAGCATTCTGGCAAAAGAAAGCAGCAGATGGAAATATAATTAAAATGGCAAAAAAGCATTTAGACTAACAAAAATACAAAATTAGATACTACATATACTAAACTAACAGTCTGGTTCCCTAAACCCTTTAGATGTCAAAGAGACCATTCTCCATTTGACATACAAAAAGACCAAAGTACATTGACATTATTTTTAGGGACTAATTCGTGTACTTACAAATTTCTAAGAATTAAAATTAAATAAGCCTAACAATGTAGGGACCCAATTGCTATTTAGCCCAGATAGGTTCTTGTTTGCTTTCAAGCTTACTCTTTGCATGAGGTAGATGCCTTGCCCATCTTTTCAAGCTGCTCAAGCTCTTCCTGCATTCAAATTATACTGATTAAGCACTCGCAAGTTCCGAAAGCCTATGTTAGTCAATGAAGAGACTAAGAACCACTATCAACCCACTCATGAAAGGTACACCAAATGTTGGCCTAGACGTCTTAAATTTCGGGTAACAGTAGACAGAATTTGAAAATCACATTGGGGGGGGGGGTAATTTAAAACCCGAGAAGTGAATGAAATATGAAAACAACAAACACGAAGTCCAAGAAAGCAATTTGGCAATCACCTTCGCTGTTGTCCTGACCAGCATACAAAGCAAATTTTTCTGTCATTCAGAAACTCATTGCTTTAATACAGGTATGCTCTAACGAGATTTCACATATGATATTGCCATATCTAATATCGTCAAAGGATTTTTTTTTTTTTTTGGGGGGGGGGGGGGAGGGGGTTGGTGTGCATACATAAAACTTTCCACTGACAAGCATTCACTGAAGGCCAAGAGAGTAATGCCTAGCAGCTGCTTTCTATTAGAACATTGCCATACAACATAAAATATGCTCAAGCATTATCACCAAAATAATATATATATATATATATATATATATATATGCTCAAGCGTCACAAATTAGAAGTTCTCCCATCACTTCAAAACGATCAATACAGTCAGCACTTTTAAGAAGGATGTTCAGACAGGGACACAACACTTGACCGTCATGATGAATGGAACTGTCTCAACCAGGTGCAGAATTCACATTTATAAAGAATTGCAAACAAAATCAGATGAGATACTGACATCTGATAGTGTAACGGACAAGTTTAAGCACCTATCAAGGAGCAACTTGTTTTAACTAATCAAAACAAATTGGAACGGAAAGGACCACAGTAGTCATCAGGGAACGGTATACACTATTAAAAAGAATACTATTAATCATTTCTCAGTATAAAAGAATTGGAAATAGAATGACTTATTTCCTACTTATTTAGTGAATAAACTCATAAGTCCATAAATTTTCACCTTTGGAGCCAAGAAACAGTTAAGGAAAATGCTTCCCTAGGAAACACCTGATTTTTGTCCACTAAATAACCATCCTCCCCGCAAGGGTATAATGAAGTGTAAGCTTTTGGAACTGTTGCTTCTTTGACAGGACCAAGTGGAAACGAACAGAATAGAAAAAAGATAAAAGAAACCTTTTAATCCCCTGCTTGAATACATGAACACGTGGGAGAGGGTGGGGTAACGCAGTGTCTTTTGCAAAATTTCTCTAAGTTGAAGCTTGAATAAAAACATATGCCCATCATACAATGTACTGAAATATAACTAGGAGAACGAGGGGCAAACCCTTACTTTTTGGACAAAGACTGGGAACATATGTACTAACAATCCCAAAAGCTTAAGCTGCGAGGCCAGGAGAAAACTCAAAGAACTCGAGTATCCCTAGTACATTTATCCATCAAAACAAGAAGTATACGTTTGTTATGGACAGGTTTCAAAATGTTCCAAGTAAGGTTGGCATTGACAGGTCACCAGGGAATATTGCCACTTCTCTGAATATTAAGTAGTTGATGCGCAATTTCTAACTAAGCAAACAATCTTTTTGACAATAGATATGCCTTGAAATTCTAACCTTAATAACTCACAGGTCGAACTATAAAACAATAATAATAAAGCGAAAAATTTAGAGGCATGTCTAATTCTAAGGAAGCTCAGCATCCTGAGTCATCAAGCCCCCCAAATAGAATCTTCTAAAGAAGAAGTTCAGTTTATGCCAATGACTGTTGAACAGAATTAAAAGATCAAAAACAAAACAAAACAAAACAAAACTCCCCCTTTCCCCACCCCCACAAAAAACACTTGACCCTTTACGCAACTCTCTAAATAAACTAAATTCCCCAAGTCAGTATCATAGTCACAACAAGTCCCTGCAGTGAAGTTGTACACCAAGATGCAACTCCATCTTTGTATATTGGAGACTACACCGAGGAAAGGTTCTATTTTAGATTAGTCATGAGCATGCATCAATACCACACTTCTACAACCTTTCTTACATTCGGACTTCTACTAGGCAGCCTAATTCCCGAACAAGATTTCAATCTTTGCTCAATATGATGATAAAATAATTGACTATTGTCTCCATCATTTTTGTTTTAATGTTTACATAATCGTGATTACCACAGATACTTTATAGATATAAATAACAAGCTGATTGGTGGAACAACATGGAAGCAAATCAACAATTGCACCAATCAGCTTAAGGGACTGATGTAAGATTAAATAATTATTAACAGCACATGGATCACTACTGTAAAGAAGAGTACAAGGGTCATCGTGTGTGCCATGTAGCATTGTGTATGGCATCAATCTGGCCAGGCACACACAATCAATACAAAGCAAACTAATGTAGTTGTAACAGAGGATGGATATTAGAAATTTTTTATGCAGCTGCCATTTCTAGAGTTTCCACGAGACCTGTGATCACAAAGCTACAGTGCAGAGTAGATATTAAATATGAATGTTTTATCACTTTTCTTGTTTAGATATATAGGTTGTGGGAGAACTACATACTTCTCTTGAGCTGGTAACAAAGGCCAGAAAGAAAACATCTGTAGAAGCAACATACAATTCAATGTGTTTCCAGTTTCTCCAAGTAAGAGATTTCAAACGCTATGTTAAGATCAAACCTAATAATTGTTTTGAGCTCCAGGGATATTTTTGATGATCAATGGATTTTTTTGGCACCTTCCTAGTGGGGAAAAATAAATAGAGAGCTTCCAAAGACACAAGTCTCAACTGTTGAGAAGATAGATATAAAGGCAAATCATAATAAACAAAGGTACAGTTGCATCACTTAAATCATTAAGCTCCTGATACCGTAGACCTCTACTCCAGTGCTTTTTCCTCCCTCACAAGACAAGATTTCCAGCTATTTCTCATTTGTTCATTATATATAATGAATAATCCAAATCTTATTAATTGCAGAAAACCTTCTATTAGTGGGGGAAAACTATGATTACCAAAGCTACATGGAAAGCAATAGCATGCCTTACAAAGTAAACGAAACAAGGCCTCTGCCATCGCTATATTAATTCCCCAAATCATCTTTTTTTGCCAAATCCATAAAGCATACTCATCAGTTCAGCCGACAGAACATTAATAATCCCAGCTATAAGCAGCATAAGACAAGAGCTAACGGATAGAACATATAAGGAAACCCCTATATTAGTCACTGATAGATACATAAACTTCAATTTCATCGTCCAAAAAATTTTTTTTTCCCCCAATTCAGTCCCAAAATCATTAAAATGCTTTCAGCGTCGCCATAGTATTTCATGTCTACCCAACAATTAACATCAAGCCTAGTACATTGCTAGAATAAAGATTGGGTTTACCTAAAGCTGGTAACTTAAACTTCAGGCCACTTCATGACTAAAATTCGTTAGGTTTGTCATTGAGGAAGGACGAAAATATGAAAGGTAAATTTAAAAGCATTTTACTGCTTGAGGCATCAAATTAAATAATATGCTCTGTTGATGATGAAATTGAAGCTGCAGCTGTTTGTACAAAACCCGCATTTTTTTACCCAGACCAAACTGCTAGGTTAAACCCATCATATGCAGCTTGATCAATTTTACCGCCAATAGAGAGTAATCAGTCAATTTTCAAAACAATGAAGAAAAATTTAAACTTTCCCATGGTATCAATTTCGCAAGAAAGACTCCGAAAACGCATCCGATCAGCTACTGAGAACTCTAACAGCAAAATCACACACAGATACACACTGAAGAACAACAATCACATGAATAAACGGAACTTCAGAATTGGATGATGAAGTAAGTACCTCTAAGAACCTTGCTTCTTGCTCCAGTCGTTTCAGTTCCGCTTGTATCCTATGCTTCCCTCTAGTATCCGTAGATGACAAAAACTGAACCCGGTGGTTAATCGGGCTCGCGGATTCGGACCCACTAGATTGCATCTCCGTAAGAAGCCTATGGCACACTTGAACTTCAAAAGCCTATGACTAAACAGAGAGATTATACTGAAAAGAGGTCTGATTCACAGTAAAAAAAGCCATCCTTTAGCAAAAACAGGAGGACCCAGAAATCTTCATGGACCCCATGATGAAGTCTGGCATGAAAGACAGAGAGATCTATGTTTCCATGCTTGTACAGAAAACTGAAGGGCACAGAGAGAGACAGAAGAATTTTGGGAGGATATGGATGGAAGAAGGTCCAATTTTGTTGTGTTGTGTGTTGGGGCGTTTCAACTTTCGCTGTGGAGGAATATGGTGAAAAGAAGACCTTTTTAGGCGAAAGGAAAAACTTTTGTTGGAGTTGTCGTTGGGTCGTGTTGGTCGAAAGCTGGTTTTCTTTTGCGTTTCTCATTTTCTGTGTTTTTTTTGTCTTTCTCTCTCTTCTTTTGGCTCTTCCTCCCTCTCACTCTCTCTCCTCCTTTTCCGAGTTAGTGCGGTGCGGCTCACTCGATTTCTTAGTTTAAATAATAATTCGAAGATTTGACTACTTCCCTTTTTCAAAAGAATATAAATATAAATTATTTCTTTTTTATTGAAATATGGGTCTTATATACTGTGGGAGGTATAAAGCAATGAGTTACATTGTTGATAATTTATAATAAGTACTCCTCCGATCTTTAATATAAGACTTAATTACTGAGTTGGTTTTGGTTCTAAATATAAGACTCATTTCTCATATTTATTAATTTTCTCTAAATTACCCTTATGATACTCCCTCAACCATGATCAAGTAGAAGATAAAGAGGAGGTATTAAGAAAGATGATTATGGTGTTTTAGGAAAAACGTGTCACATTTTTTATAATTAACTAACTTACCTAACTTTCTTAATCTAATTAAATTAGTTAAATGGGTTTTATATTAAGGATCGGAGAAGTAGTAAATATTTTGAACTTTCTAACCTTATGAATGTTGGTATTGAAATATTGATTAATTTTAAAATTTGACTTAATTAGAAGTTTTCGCACGCAACCTAGGAAGAATTTGAAATTCTTTTGAATTAAGAGAGAAAGAGTTTGAAAATAACAGTAAGATATGTGAATGATTTAACTTTTTACTTTTACATTGCGTGATGATGATGATTACAAGGAAAATTTCATTCAAGAATCTTAAGAAATTAAGCCAACAAAAGAAAAACTAGACATTTAAGTGTAATTATATTAGAACAGCTAAAATTTAAATTTGAAGGCAAATTAAAAGTATCTTCAAGCGTTAGTGGCAAATAGTAAAAAAAAAAACCACATAAAGTAATTTGATTGGACAATAATACATTTATACAAGTTATTAAGTATTATCAGTCCTCAGAATAAGAACTAGTTGATCAATCTGAATAGATTAAGAAAATTAGTTAAATTAGTTATTTGTAATTAATAAGTGTTGTATTTCTTAAAATACTTTTACTAATCATGTGTATTAGTTAGAACTATTATTTGATAAAACATTTAACACGTGCAACCAGTATAAAGACTACCATAAAAAAAATATATATATGAGAGGCAAAATGAATTAGGTTATTATATTTAAGAACAAATTAAGTATCAAACTAGTTATTATATTAAACACCAAAAGTAGTACTAAGGTTTCTTACATTCTATATTTCTCAAATGAGACCTCAACTATAAATTCTATACGTGAAAAAAAAAAACTTGAGTTTCGTCCAATTTAAATTCCAATAAAAATTGAACTTGGATTATTTTGAAAATCAGAGTAGTATATGATTATTAAAAAGTAATAACAATATTACTATAATAATATCCTTTAGAGGTTGTAAATATTCTTAAAAATTATTTCAGGTCAGTCTAAAAAAAACACAACTTAAAATTACATATATATTACTATTTTTTATCTTTAATATAAAGCTCAGATGAATAATTTGAGGAGATTAAAAAAATTACTAAATTGTTTAATTATAACATGTTATATGATCCCCTAAAATACTTAAGTTTATTATTAGAGTATATATCATCAGTTTATAAGTAAGTCAAATTAGTTTGAAAAATAATAATAAATTTAGATACTTTAAAGTAATTTAGTTAATTTTTTAATTTTTTTAAATTAATGAACTGGATCTTATATTAAAAATTGAACATAATATATATATATATATATTTATATATGTAGTGTTCCTATTCCTCATAATTTTCTTCTATCCTAATTCGCTTTTTGCCAGTGTATTTAAGCTTTCTAAATAAGTATTCGCTTTTTCTTTTGAAAAAGAAACTACTTTTTTGGTTATATCAAGAAGAACATAATATGCTACTTTTTTGACAAATAATATAATATGCTAATTTGAACTTCAAATTAATTTACCCTATAAAATAATAATTGAGATTTTTGCCATGCATGTCAAATGTCAGAACAGTCAAGTGATTCTTTGACTAGAAAATAATAAGTACAATTAACCATAGTTCGGAAGAAGTAATGCGATCTAGTTTTAATAAGTTTCAGATTATTTTAAATTTTAATATTATATTTGATCTATTTGGTACCAGTATTTATTCATCATATCTGATTTATTTCTTTGTTTGGTCTCAAAATTCCAAATTAATGCCCAGGTGATTATGACAGATACTCTGGATAAATCCCCAAACCCACAGCATACGTGCGTGTATATACTATATGTAGACACACATCTATATATTTCTCCCCTGGTGATGAGATAAATCTAAATTCATTGAATTTTTTTTCTAGTGTTCTGTTAGCAATTTAACAAACAGAGAAAAAACAGAAAAGAAAAGGAGAAAAATATGAACTCTCCTTAAAAATTTTTTATAAAGATACCTCTTGAATTTCAAAATCTCATATCACGAATTACTACAAAAAAATGTTATTATTTATTTTTCAAGTGTAATCAATTGCTAAAAATGTAGTAAATAAGACTGATTTGATATTTTAAAATTTAAGATTTTTTTGGGGATTTTCCCTAATTTAAATAAATAAGAGCTAACTTCACAATAACTATAATAGTCATATAAAAAACTGAGGTCATAGTTTTTTGTTATCTCATTTGGAACATCTTTGAAAAATGCTTTTTTTTTTTAATTTCTCCACTTTTAAAAAGAAAATTTTGAGAAGAAAATACATGAGTTTCATACTTGTTTCTCCTTCACTTTTTTCTTCTCATTTTCTCTTGTTGATGCAGAAAAATTCTATTTCCCCTCCTATTTTCTCTTATATTTTTTCTTCCCATCTAAATATAAGATAATTATCCTTACCTTTTAGGTCAAGTGCATATATTTTAAAATCAAATAATTTTGAAGAAATATATTTTTCTTGTTATATATTTTGAAATTAAATAATTTTATATGTTTCAAAATGTATTTTAAAAATCAAATAATAAATGAAAAGAATCAAATGATATATATATTTAAAAGTATTATATGTATTTAAAAATAATTCTAAAATATATATTTTTCATATGTGTGAAGGTGGTGGTGGTGGTGTTGGTTACTCGATAGGGTTAGTTGAATTGAGAAACCGGCGTAGTGAAGGGCAGCTATTTCTTTCCAAAATCTTTTCATATTTGGAGAGTTTTTTTTTTTTTTTAAATTTCGCCTTATATTTGGGGAGTAAAGATCAGAGAAAATGAGGTGGATTCTGCCTCTTATTTTCTTTCCTCTTATTTTTATTCCGACATCTAAAGAAAACGTCTAATCCTCTCATACTTTCTATTTTTCAAAACTTTTCCTTCCCATCCAAACACAGAGTTGGGATCGGAGGGAGTAACGTTGAAGGAATAACAAGGCCTTTTGACACAATAAAATCAACAATCCTCTCCAATCCAGACAAAGACAGCACTTTGGTCTTCACCATGTGACATCAACAGTATAAGGAGACCATGTTGGCCACCAGTCTCATGCATAGACATATGATTGGGCTGCGGCAATTGGAAATCCCAATTTTGGTTAATCATATTTTTACAATTGCAATGATGAGGCATACGGTATAACTTTTACATATGATTTATACATCATTTTCATATTATTGTCCCAATAACAATGCCGGATAAGGTCTTAAACTCAAGTATGACATTGAGATATTTGTGTGTGCCTATGTTTAACCGTATAAATGGGGGGAAATATCCATATGGGAAGAATCTTCCAGACTGCTCCTGAAGATCCTTTTTTCCCCAAGCCCCAGAAGGGTTTCCTGGCCAACAGGCAGCAGCACTTTCCTTCCCAGAAACACCAGCAGGCAACAGTATGCTATATTTTTAAACTCCCCTTAACAGTGAACAAGAATAACCTAAATGAAGTTTTCTTTGTTCCCAAAATAAAGCACACATACAGATCAGACAGTGATACAAAGTAAGCCTAAAGTAAAATAAAATTTCAGTCAAACAACAAAAGTTAATAGGGAAATAGAATGAGCGATCACTAATAATCCAAAAGTACTACCATTCCATGTGCAGGCTCTTAGCTCAAGAAGTCAGATGAAAGCCACACTGGCATTACAAAATCAATATCTTTATCTCAGTCCACAAGAAGACTGGATCCTAATAATCCAAATAGAATCAGAAAAACAACATATATTTTATGTAAATATCCTTCAATTTTGTGATTCCCCACATAACCCTATCTAGGAAACCCATTGAAATCCGATCCTTTATCTTCTTGCATTATCTAGAGGATGTAGTGGCTACCTGTGGCAGGTTAACCAATTATTGTGATAAAATCATTGGCGTCGAAAGAAAAACAATAACATAAACTAATGCAGGAATACTTGAAGGTCTTTCAAGTCCACAACATAAGATGCAATGAAAAACATCAAAACTAACAAATAGAGACTATAAACCATTACAGCCCAAAATTTGCCGCTTTCACATGACAGAAAAAAAAAAGAACTTAAAACATGAATGCACTCAAGGTAAGCAACACCATCAATTGAAATTAGAAGCAATTTCATAAAGACGCAATTGACGTGAAGGCTAATTAACAGCTCACAGTACCCAATGCAATAGAAAATCTAACACCCAAGGATGGGGAATGTATGGCTGTATCCATTCCAATGAAGTGAAAACACATTATATCTGAAATGTGAATGAATGCATAAATAGCGCAGACAATACGAAAAAGGGGATAAAAGGATTAGCAAAAGTAATAACCCATTATATCTGGAAAGTGAATTCCATTTCCCGTATGATATGAGTGGCTCAAAATGTTGAGAACGAGTAGTTGTTTGAAGCATCTTCAAGTTAAAGGGATGAGAAGCATACATGTCAGGAATCTAACAAGTTTCACGCAAAAGTCTTTTAGTTTAAATGTTCTCCCCTCATTCTCTCCCTGGTTCAGCTAAACCATATTGTCTCTTCATAAGAACCCACACGCACAAATGGAGAGGCAGAGTTCAACCACATTATGGTGAAAAC